TTCCACTCCAAGACCTGTTCCAGCAGGTCCTTTCTAAAGGGAGAGGTGGCAGTCAGGGGGCTCTTGTTGCTGAGCGGCAGGTCCCATCATCCCCATTGCCCATGGCTACGTGAGCAGTGGCTAATGGGAGCTGCAGTACACAGCAACCGCCCGAAGTGTGCACATTCACAGGCTCTTTTGGAAAGGAAAACTGAATCGCTTCTCCTTTGCTGGGATCTTTCCCTGGACGGTGGCCAGTGAGAAACGGGAACTGAGCAAGCAGAACAACATTTCACTTCCTCTTCTCAGAATTCCCCAAAGCTTTCAGTTTCTTGAGAAGTTCTCAGTCTTCAGAATTGGAACGAGGCCTTCTACGGCAAAAAGGAAGAGTCGGGGGCCCGAGATGCCAAGGGAACTGGTTTCGGCAAAGAAGGATCTGTCCTTAAACGACAGCAACTGCTGTACCAGTTGTGGGTGGGTGGGGGGGTCAGAGATTTCAGCATGCAAGCCCCTCGCAGGTAAAGAGGAGACAGGAGAGATGCTCGTGGCCAGAGTGACACATTAGCCCCAGCCCCGTCCACGTTGAATCCCAGGGCCCTGCACTTCCAGGGGTGTAAATCCTCGGTGCTTGTCTACCGGTGGGTGAGAGCAAGCGGACTGTCAGAGCCGACAACACCGGGCTGGATGCATCTGGCTCTGAGGAAAGGGCGTTTTCTTTGTCCTGAAACCAGACCATGTCCCAAATAAAGTAGGTGATTTCTTTAAAAATTAGTCCTATTTCAAAAATTAGTCTAATTTCTTTACAATTAGTCCTCTGGAGGAACACGTAGGTGTATTTTCTTTTTGGCAATAGTTTGTTTATTATTTTAATTTACAAACTGTCTCATTAGTGCCGAAGCATTTTTTTTCTGGGCGGTTTACAAATAGTCAAAATAGAACCTCGGCAAAACCGAACTCTAAAATATCACAAGCGACAGGAAGCCAGGTTTCAGCTGAATATCAGGAAGAACTTCTCAACAGTTAGGGCAGTACAGCAATGGGAACCCATGACCTCGGGAGGTGGTGAGCGCTCCAGCGCTGGAGGCCTTCAAGAGAAAAGTGGACCGCCGTCTGTCAGATCCGTTTTGATTCGGGTTCCTGCCTTGAGCAAGGAGGGGTTGGACTCGATGGCCTTAGAGGCCCCTTCCGACTCCAATATTCTAGGATTCTATGCTGCGTTTTTGGGTGGCCCTGGCAGTGACGGATGTGGCAGGGAGACATCCCCCCCTTAAAAACACACACACACACACACACCTGAAATCAGGAACGGCAGCTGGCTTGGGGAAGATGTTCCCTCTGCTTACAGAGCAGGGCTTGGTGCATGGACTC